TTTTTTTTTAACATATTTTTCCTGATTATGGTCATGATTTAGCAGCTTAGTAACTAACCCTTCTGACAAAAGTAACTATAAAATCTGGACAAAATATAAGCAACCATTTGAATGCATTGGAGAACAATCTACACGGGTAAAACTTCAGGGACTACAATTCCAGGAAGAAGGCAAAAGCAAAGAAGTGTGTTCCACATTCACTCCTCCCACCCCCCAGGATATTTGACAATTCACTAAAAAAACCCCAAACCAAACCCACTGCTGTGGAGTGGATTCCGACTCATCGCGACCCTACAGGACAGAGCAGAACTGCCCCATAGAGTTTCCAAGGAGTAGCTGGTGAATTCAAACTGCCAAACTTTTTGTTAGCAAGGGGAGCTCTTAACAACTACACCACCAGGGCTCCGACAATTCACTAGGTCGGGGAAATATGGAGATGTGGAGGCCTGGGGAAGAGACTGGGGGTTGGGGGATGGAGAAATAAAGTCTGAGTAGAAAGCAGTGGTTTTAATTGAGGAGATAGAAGATTTGGGGTTTGCAGCTGCTTAAGCAGTGGGTGTTTGAGGCACATATTCTTGAGAGAGGTGGACCACAGAGAAGTTACACCCAAAATTTGATGACATCTTCTCTCAAGGCATTTTTGGATTCCTATGGGATCCTTATGAGGTGGAATCTACTCGATGGCAACAGGTTTGGTTTTTGGTTGTTTAGCTTTCATGGAGCCCTGGTGGCATAGTGGTTAAGAGCTTGGCTGCTAAACAAAAAGTCAGCAGTTCAAATCCACTAGCTGCTCCTTGGAAATACTATGGGGCAGTTCTACTCTGTCCTATAGGATTGCTATGAGTTGGAATCAACTCAATGGGTTTGGTTTATTTTTGGAGCTGTTCATATGCAAGATGAGACTTCAAGAAATCTAGCAGAACACAGAAACTGAGAGTCTAAACAGATAAGCAGAGATTTCAGGAGTCACAGGGTGTACGGAGTACAGAAATAGGAGTCAGGGCATACTAAGCAGGGGGGCTGGGTAAACAGTCCAGGCTTCAGTTGAGATCTCATGAAGGTCATGTTGCTGAGTAAGGGACATACCGTAGGAGTAAGAGCAAAACCGACACAGACCATCTTTAAAACACATAAAAATAACTTTTAAATGGGATTAAAGTTACCTGCCTCTACTCTATCTACCTGCTAAAAGAAAACCTTATCTTGGTTTGGTTACTACACCCAATGTCTTCAGAATTTTTGAAACAGAATGTCCTGCATTAAAAAATTGAGGCATGCTAAAAAACAGGACTAAATGATCAAAAACCAAGAGAAGAAATAGATAATAGTAACAGACTCTCTGGTGATTAAGGTTTTGGATCAATACTAGGATGAACAATTATATGAATTACACTAGTTTTTTTTTTTTTTTTTAAACCTGAAGAAGAGGTTAAATATTAGTTTTATTTTGTTAATGTGATGAAGTACACTGATTGATTTTCTAATGTAAAATCAAACATGCAGTTTTTAGGTATAAATCCAATTTGGTCTTGATTTTTTTTTTAACATATTTTTCCTGATTATGGTCATGATTTAGCAGCTTAGTAACTAACCTTTCTGACAAAAGTAACTATAAAATCTGGACAAAATACAAGCAACCATTTGAATGCATTGGAGATCAAGGGTCTTTTTGATTAACACTCTTTTTTATATTCCCAGAAATTTCTGCAGGGCTCTTTTCATATCTTTGTTCCTAAGACTGTATATCACAGTGTTAAGGAGTGGGGTCATGACAGAATAAAATAGGTTTATAATTTTCTGCATTCCATCTTCATGTTCAGATGTTGGAATCCCATACATGACCAGTACTGAGCCATAGAAAAGTGAAACCACAGCCAGATGAGACCCACAGGTAGAGAAAGCTTTTCTTCAACCAGCTGCTGAGGGGACCTTTAGTACAGCTCTTAGGACGAGAGTGTAGGACCCCATGATGAAGAGAAAGAGAATAATGGGTAGCAGAGAACTTAAAGTGGAGACAACAAGGCTATCACAGGAGCTCTTTTGCAAGTGAGTGCTAGAAGAGGACCTGGGTCACACAGGAAGTGGTTAATAATCCTGGATCCACAGAAGGACATCTGGGAAATGATGATAATAGGAATCAAGAACCAAAGGAAACCAAATACCCAGCAATTGACCACAAAATTGGTGCAGAGATGTCCAGTCATAATGGTTGGATAGTGTAGAGGCCTGCAGATTGCAAAGTATCGATCAAATGCCATAACTGCCAAGGAAAAACTTTCTGTAGAACCCAGGGAGAAGAAAAAGTAGAATTGGAGAAAGAACCCAGAGAAGGAGATGACCTTGGTGTCAGAGAGGAAGCTGACCAACATGTTGGGGACAGTGGAAGTGACATACCAGATCTCCAGGAAGGAGAAGTTGGTGAGTAGGATGTACATGGGGGTGTGGAGTCTCTGATCCCAGTGCACAGCACAAATGACGGAACCGTTCCCCATGAGGGTCAGGAGGTAGACAATACAGAAGAGCACAAAGAGGAGGATTTGACCCTCCCTGGTGCAAGGGAAGCCCAAGAGGATAAAGGCAGTGATGGTGTTGGAGTCGTTGGGGGTGTTGAAGACTTTCATGTGTCTGTGAGCTGTAAAAGACCAACAAATACTGAATAACAGCATAAAGACAGATAGGAACCCAGATTTATATTGGAAGCATCTTCGGAAAGAAAATAAAGACTTATGTATCAATTGCTAGTCTTTTTATTTAATCCTGAAATATTGTCCTGGCTTGCTTTTTTGCTCTCATTCACATTTTCACTGTGGGCTCAAGTAAACTTTTGGTCAGAAAGGATAATCTCTTGAAGCAGAGTGTTGTAGAGGTATTTATTTCAGATTTACATTTAGTAGAATACATATATATATATACCTATATATATATATAGGTATATATACATCACCTGATGATGATGAATTTTACCTGAACCCTGTGATCCTGGAAAACAGCTATGATTAAAGAAATCCCTTTGCCCTTTGTGTTCAGGAAAATAGCTTACTGCAAATAACAATCCTTCTTCATATGACTTAGATATGACACATGGATGCTACCTGTGTATTATTGACAAGGTTAGACACAGATCCTCCAAATTCACATCTTTGCCTCATAAGTACTTAACTGAGCTTATGAACTGCTTGTTCCCACTGATCAATCAGAAATGAAATACCTGTTAACAAAACTTTGGTTAAGTTTCTCCCACCTCCACTGACTCCACACTAGTTCAAGCTA